ATATATATATATATATATATATATATATATATAATTTAAGATGTCAAATGCATTTTATGGCTTGCTATGAAAGTAAATTCAAAAACAAAGACAAAAACAAAGTTAATCTCAATGAAATTGATATTCAGTATGTGCCCTCTAAAGCAAAAGTGTTATCCATTGGATTAGCATTGAATTACATTTTGATAGAAGTTATGAATCCTGCAAAGTGAATGCAGGCTAATTGTGGTATTTTGTTAGTAATCAAAAATTCACAAAGTTCTAAATTTTGTTAAATTTGGTATGAAATTCAGAAATTTGCTTCCACATTTGAAAAATTAGTGCTAAACACCTCTCCCATGAAAACATGTTCAAAACCAGAGGAATCAATAAGACCACGGTGTCTCGAATATTCTACGAACCACAATTGATTTATCCACGAACGGAATTCATTTGGAGTTGTCGCAAATAGATGCTCTTAAAATTGCGAACTTGATTCTTCTACTACTTTTAGTTCTATGTATGGACTTTTAATTCAAATTGAAACATGCAGCGAAACATGAAATTATTTTGAGAGAAATTCTTTAGCGAACTAATAATAATTCACAAACTGTACAGAATTTACCTTTTTGGTGCAAAAACTCATAAAGACTTTTCCAAATTTGTGTATCCAAAATTGCATCTAAATATTCGCGAATAATTCGTGTTTTCTAAAAGTAACTATCCAAGTACATAAAATTAACAACGCTGTATTACAATACAATACATGAACAATACTTTCAGTTATGGCTATTTCCGTTATGCCCTAGTCATTTAATAGCTTTTTGAAAATATCTTCCAATACCTTTATGCTATTCTCTTCACGAATTCCAGCTCGCGGTTGATATTCATCGTAGAGCGCAACCAGTTTCTGATACGTATTTTTTTTCAGCAAATTCGGATCTACCCATTTAAATAGTCTGAATAAGACATGAATTATCATTTTCTTTCAATGGGATTCTTAAACCAAACTTTTTAGGTGAAATGGAATATTCCTGCTCAATTACCTAACTGATCGATGTAAAATATGTCAGTAAAATAAGCTCACGAATTCGCACTTGGTAATATTTTGACTCAAAATTGTGACTAAATCTCTTACAATAATAGAAAAGTATATTAATTAGCTAACTGACTTTTTATCTTAGAGTAATCAATAAGCAGTAATAAACTATAGTTAATCCGTGAATGAGCTCTCAAACCTGTTTTTGGCGTGATCATCTGCGTTATGTGTAGTTGTATGTCCTTGATAATCCAGTATTATTTGACCTTCAACTGCCCTGCTCGCATCTTCTTGTCGAAGTTTGTCCACCAAATCAACAATTTCTTGGTCAGATACCGAAAAATCTAAATTTGATTGAAAAACTAATTCCAGTTGATAATCTCAAAATAATACCACAGAAGAAAAATTGGATTTGAAACGATTAATATTACTTGAATACAATAAATTGAATTTAAAACGAGTATTGAATCTGAAACGAAACGATTAATGAATTTAATATTACTTTAATGTAATACCAGGTATTCTTTCCGCTCCTTGAACAACACTAATTTGCGACATTACAAGCAGACAAATGCACAGTAAGTGTAATTGCTTTAACATTTGCTGTAATATTACATTGAAATTTAAAATGAATATAAAAGTTGAAATGTTTGAGACTAACTTATTTATTGCATAATTAGTAGATGAGATCTGTCTGACATGAATTAGACTTTGCAATGAACGCTACATTCAGAAAAATTTTACAACAGAAAATTTTTTATACTAAAAATATAAATGACTGTACTTTTTAAAACCAGG